ACAGGCGCCGAGCCTATTCCTCAATTTTTAATAGATAAGCAAAGGGGGCTCAGAGATGGCCCCAGTCACTACTGAGCATAATATTCTCCTTTTGCCAAAAAATAGTACAAGGGAGGATTTCAAATGGAAGCATCTTCTCTTTGAAGTTATTTTGTACAAAACTTAATATTTTGTTTTGCTTTAAAAAGGTGTGGCTTTTTTTCCCCTGTGGATCTTCATATTTAGGCCAAGAGTGGCAGTGGTTTAGGAAGCTGTGGGGGGCAGCTGGGTCCACCTCTTTCTTTCTCCTGTTGTGCTTCTTCCCCATCTGGCTTAGGTCATCGTTAAAATGTAGCCGTGTTACCTGATAGGGTAGCACAGACATATCCCCTTATCTGCATTTCAACTAGTTTCTCAGGTGTGTCCCTTCAGAGAACAGAGCACCAAGGAAATGGGACCCAGGCCAGGTAAGAGTTTAGGGGCTAAGGGAATGGTCGCAGCACGAGGGCCCAGCACCCAGACGCAGGTCTCCGGAAGGCAATAGTACCTCCGAGAGGACTGGCCGGAGGACCGGTAACAGTCACCAGCTCCCCATCTTGGCCTCAGAGTTTTGTCTTGAGTTAGTATTGGTTGCTGCAGAAGTCAGTGACAGTGACCAGCACCTCTCAGGTTCAAGGACTGGCAACACACAGCTGCCTCTCTGCCCTGTCCTACCTCCTGTTAGGGAGTGATGCCTTCCGGAGATAATAAGCATCTCCCTTTCTAAAGCGAATTTCAACAACTCAAAACCTGGTGGTCTCAGAATTATAAAAGGCGACATGTTAGAGATGGAAGAAAATTGTTTCTACTGTGACTATGCCTATAATTAAAAAAATACTTTCATTTTCCCACTTTACAGACAATTGCAACATGACTTTCCCAGGGCCCTGATTTTCAGCACGGATGATTTTTTCTTCAGGGAAGATGGTGCCTATGAGTTCAATCCTGACTTCCTGGAGGAAGCTCATGAATGGAACCAAAAAAGAGGTGAAAAATTCTTTCCACACTCCTGGGAAACCCTATTGGTGTCCATAGATAGTAGCTGCTGCAGAAAGACTGAGTTTCAGGGAAGGAGCTTAATCAAAAGTTCTGCCACCACCCCCCCCCCCCACCCAAACAGAATGCCGGACCATAACCTACTTAGATTCCAGGAAAAAGAAAATCATTGATAATGGGTTCTGAAATAAGTGTCATTGAAGTTGTATAATGAGGACATCCTGTAATGAAAATGAGACACTTGTGGATTACCTCAGCCTTCTGATTGTCGCGTGTTGTTCACTGTTCTGTAACATTGTGTTGCAGCGAGAAAAGCAATGAGGAATGGCATATCCCCCATTATTATTGATAATACCAACCTCCACGCCTGGGAAATGAAGCCCTATGCAGTCATGGTAGGAAGAAGTATCATTCTGAATTTTCAGTTATGGACATTTTGTAAGAAAGTTGAATCATTTGTTCTTTCCTCTTTTTCTAATCTTCTGCGATTTCATATTTATTAACAGTAGTTCTCCCAGGGAGCAGTAAAGGGGTTTTATTTTCGTGTTTCTCTGCTTTTCAGCTGCTAAAATTTGCTGAGATGCTAATCTCACCACAGGGCACAATTTCTAAATAGTCCTTGGTAAATGGTCTTGGGTCTGAATTCTTGATAGTTTTAATGTCTTAGTTATTTCCCTAAAGGGAGGCATACGGAGGAGCACCCACTGAAACATACTGAGAAATTCTGAACTAGATGACGCTACCAGCAGAGTTACAGGCTGTGTCAGGTCAGGTCTGCCTTTGGTGAACTGGGTTTTCAGCTGTGTGTACTGTTGCTGTCTAGTAGTTCTAGGGCAACCGAATTTTTAAATTTCAAAACAGATTTAGGATTAATACTGTAACCCTATTAGGACAGTAGAATACAGATATAGATGCACATATAATTTGGCTCTCCATTGTCAGAATAAGATGAATATAACAATGTACAAATTATTCTCTAATTTGGAAGTCTATTTGGTCTTTTTTCAGACATATTTCACCTCTAGTGATGTTTTCTTCCCTATCAGATATAAAAAGGAGAAAATATCCAGAACCATATAGGGGAGCAGGAAGCAGACAGCTGAATGTCACACAGAATCCCCAACTGGCTATTGCGAAATGCCATCTTCCAAACTGGGCTCATATTTTTAGGTTTCTTTTTACATCTTGGGTAAAACTGCATAGCTACAGGTGTGCTTTCCTCTAACAATACTTTTGTCAGTTCTACTTAACATCAGGGTTGTGGAACTTCGGTAAACATAAAAAAGAATGAGCAACAATTTTGTGGTTCATGTTTAAGAGTCCACTTTGGCAAGAAATGAACAGGGATGTGAATAGTTGAGTGAATTAAGGCACAACTCCAAAACCAAGAGTTAGGGATTAACTGGGAGTAGCTTAAGGGAAGTCATTTTCCTTTTTATTTTCTAGGTATGTATAAACTTTTTTTAGCCTTCCACAGCTATTAATTAGACTTAGAATTCAGATGTTATGCTATTTGAATCCTTCCCTAATTATAAGGGCCCAACTGAAGAATGAAGAAGAAATCTTTTTATGTAGGTCTTTGCAGTCTGTATTTTATGACACAATAAACAATAGTGATATTAGAAAGTTCAAATTTAGATAGGGTAGTAGTCAATTTATGAATGCAAAGAATATTTGTTTTTTTGTTTTTGAGACAGAGTCTTATTTTGTTGTCCTTGGTAGAGTGCCATAGCATCATAGCTCACAGCAACCTCAAACTTCTGGGCTCAAGTGATTCTCTTGCCTCACCCTCCCAACTAGCCAGGACTAAAGGCACCACAATGCCTAGCTATTTTTTTGGAGACGGGGTCGTGCTCTTGCTCAGGCTGGTCTCGAACCCATGAGCTCAGGCAATCCACCCACCTCAGCCTCCCAGAGTGCTAGGATTACAGGATCACATCCTGGCCAGATGAAAAGAATAGTTGAATATTTACATGGAATTTGCAGTTTTCTAAACTCGAGGAAATGGGGCACCCTGTCCTGAACGGAACAGTGTTGCACAGCTGGGAACACTAGTTTTTGGAGGACAATTATGTGACTTATGTAGAAATTGCCTTTATTCCATGAGCTCTGTCCAATGGCACTCTCACTTTCTGAAGCAAGACATGAGGAATAAATAGGTCAAGGCATCTGACAGAAATAAATCACAAGAATCATATAAGTGTCGGAGGAGCCCAGGTTTGTTAATTATACGTGTGTCCAGGAACTTTTAAACTAGTTGTCATCTTTTTAAAAAAGATGTCCAAAACAAAGTAACATTACAATTATCCTACATACTAGATAAAATCAACCAAAATTTATCACTGTGAATCATAATATAATCTGAGAATGGTTAAGTACGGGAATGAACCAACTAAATTTTAAGGCATTGAATTACTGGTAAAACAAAAAAGGAATTTTAGAAAAGATTTGTAGTAAATGTTAAATGGCAGCGTAAACATTCCCAAACATACATACTGTGTGTTCAATGTTTTATGTACTTTTGAAAAATCAGGCACTTGAAAATAACTATGAAGTTATATTCCGAGAACCTGACACTCGCTGGAAATTCAACGTTCAAGAGTTAGCAAGGTACTTCTTTGTTTTTCTAGTTCCTCATTATGTATCCTGCTATTTTCAGGTATTTCAGAACGAACAAAAGAATCTTTTCAGGCTGGAAATGGACATGGTAGTTTTCAGGCCCCAAATGGTAATTCTTGGAAATTGATAACTTTGGAATTATTAATGTGAAGACTTTAGTTTTGGGTCAGTTTTCTAATATGATGCTAAATGCTAAATCTTGCCTTGAACTTGGTCCTTTAAAAGGACACATTTAACATTCTGCTAAAATGCTTCCTCATTAATAAACATTTAAGAGCACTTTCCTCTCTCTGCATGGAATTGCACATGTCATTGGTGTTTTTGCATTTAAGCTGAATAAGGATTGTTAGATGTTGTGCAGTCTATGGTTCATTTCTGGTCTAGATGCTGCTTCTAATTTATAAAGCAATAAATGTCCAAAAACTAACTTGTTGATTGAATGCATGAGTTCTGATATTCTCTGTGTTATTTGATAATGTTAATGACTTAACTGAGTGAGATCAGAATTTACTTGTTAGGAGTAAGGTTCTTTTATGGTTACAAGCAGAGAGTGTTTCCAAAGTGGGTGGGAAGGGTGGGTCTGTAGACCACTCCCATCAGAATCACCTGAGGGGGTGAATCCATTCTGTACCTGGAATCTCTAACTATTCTTGTGCCCACTAGAATTTAAGATTTTTTTGTTTTTCTTTTGAGACAGAGTCTCCTTACGTCACCCCCAGTAGACTGCCGTGGTGTCACACGTCACAGCAACCTCAAACTCTTGGGCTTAAGTGATTCTCTTGCCTCAGCCTCCCTAGCACAGGAGCCTGCTGCCACAACACCCGGCTATTTTGTTTTGTTTTTTGTTTTAGAGACAGAGTATCACTTTGTTACCCTCAGTAGAGTGCTGTGGTTTCACAGCTCACAGCAACCTCCAGCTCTTGGGCCAGGTGATTCTCTTGCCTCAGCCTCCTGAGTAGCTGGGACCACAGGCACCCACCACAGTGCCCGGCTATTTTTTGTTGCAATTCAGCAGGGGCTGGGTTCAAACCCGCCACCCTTGGTATATGGGGCCAGCGCCCTACTCACTGAGCCATAGGCGCACACCAACCCAGCTATTTTTTGTTGCAGTTGTCGTTGTTTAGCTGGCCAGGGCCGGGTTCGAACCCACCAGCCTTGGTATATGTGACCAGCGCCGACCCAAGAATTTAAGATTGTTTTAATAAGCAGCTCTTAGAAGTACATGTTAAGGATTGATTGACACAGATGCATGTCTCATCAACAGGCAAATATATGATTCTCTTTTATGTCTTGAAGCACATAATTGAGATTACCAGAAACAAAGCTGTTCTGAAGCTTCAGCTCCTTGCTAGCATCAGGGTGGTTTGGGGTGTGCAGGGCAGCATGAGGAGCAGAGCCTGAAAGAGAACCCCATAGCAAGATGTACGCTTTTGCCAGAGTTAAGTTTTGAGAACAGAGACTGGCAATATCTACGCAATAATACGGGACTTGTAAAATACAAGTAACTCATTTTGATATCCTGCCTTAAATATTTGCATTTTTTCCCATGTAGAAGAAACATTCATGGAGTTCCAAGAGAAAAAATACTCCGAATGAAAGAACGGTATGAACATGATGTTACCTTTCACAGTGTTCTTCATGCAGAAAAGCCCAGCAGAATGAACAGAAACCTGGACAGAAATAATGCATCACCTTCCAACAATGCGGGATACTGGAATACCTATTCAGAATCTCCAAACCGGAGGGCTCATGGCAGCTTCACAAATGAGAGCTCCTTTAACAGAAGGGGTGGCTATCACCATGGATATTAGAGGCCTGTCTTACAGCCATTCAAAATTTTCCTAAATCAATTTTTACTTCGATTTTTGGTATTTATTCTTTGTTGTTTTAGTCAGAGCTCTGATGCCTGTGTAAATAGTTGAACTCAAGTTTCTGAGCAGAAGTCATTGTTATTCGTTATCTTCAACAAGCATTTGTTAAAGTGCTCATGGCTATATGCATGGTCTGATGCTGGGAATTCTGCAGATTTAATTAAACAGCTTCTTTCTATAGGGAAAGAATTTGAAACCAAAACCTGAGAACATACCCAAGAAAATAACCAATTACATAGGTTCATAAATGAAATGTTTATATTATACATGTGCTTAAGTACCACTTTCTCAGAAATAATCTATTTTCTCAGGAAATTAGTCTCCGTCAGGAAAGTTGGAAAGGTGGGGGAGAAGTGGAGGGCAGGAAGCTGTTGTTAGTGCCATTGCTACTTCGTATCCACAGATGTTCAGATGTGTGACTCTAATGATGATACCGATTTTCCTTTAGAATATGCTAGAAAGAATACATGTAAGGGAACAATGTCCTTCAAAGTAGACATATTGGGAAAGCATCCTTTATTTTAATAATATATCCCTGTTAAAAATATCCGTGTAATCCTTAATAGCTATATAGGTTATCAGGGAAAATCAGTGTCATTATTTAAAGTCATACTTTGTGTTTTAACTTCCACTTTATTCAACAGGATTAAACCTGAACAAATTTTGGCTGTTGTGCTAATTGTGTAAATAAAATAAACCTGCCTTCATAAAACACCAATTTTTAAGATGGATAATTAAGCAACTTCTAAAATTATGTCTATAAATGTGTGCAATTAGTTGGCAGCTCAAATGTTTGGGAGTGCAATGAATTAAGCACCTCCAGATGCAGGTCACGCAGGGATATGTAAAAGCCATGCTCATTACAAAATGAGCAGTTGATGTTTTATGTGGCATTATTTAAAACAATAAAGTTTTACTATAACTCCAGAATGTCCCTCTTACACTGATCACCGAATTTATGAATCTACATTAGATTAATTTGGTGTGGGGCCACGATGAACAAGACCATGCAGGATGTATGTGCTACTTCTTCTTGTAGGCCAGCAGCTTCTTTTTAATGTTCTGTGAAGCATTATTTTAAGTGTCCTCTATGATGGTGCTTTTATGGTTATTAAAAATTGTACGTAGTATGGCATTTATATGGATTTGTCATTGAATTGTTTTTTGGTTTGACAATATAAGAATTACCTAAATCTCAAGGAATTCAACCATATAATCAGTTTTTCTGTACCATAAACAAGCTTACGTGCCAGTCTTCTTTGATAAATAGGAGGCATAAAGGTAAAGACAAAGCAACCTTACATTTTACTTGCTTATATAAATTTGATGTATAGGCTTGGTGCTTCTGGCTCAAGTGGCTAAGGCGCCAGCCACATACACCTAAGGTGGCGGGTTCGAATCCAGCCCGGGCCCGCCAAACGATGGCTGCAACCAAAAAATAGCCAGGCGTTGTGGTGGGCACTTGTGGTCCCAGCTATTTGGGAGGCAGAGGCAAGAGAATTGCTTGAGCCCAGGAGTTGGAGGTTGCTATGAGCTGTGAGGCCACAGCACTCTACCTAGGGGGACAGCTTGAGGCTCTGTCTCAAAAAATAAAATAAAATAAAATAAACTTGATGTATAAATTAGAAAGACTATTTTAATATTCCAGTATCTGACACTATTGAAATCTACTGAATATCTTGATGACATTAACACTTTTAAAATTGGTATTTCTTTAACACTGTTTGGCTGACAAAAAATGGTAAATGTGAACCAATCCAAGTTACCATAATTTTGCTAAATTCTATGTGTCCAACACATAATAACCTAATAATAATTACCCACTTACTGATGCTATTTTCCAGACCCAGGTAATCCTGGGTATTTTAGCTAAGATGGTTATTGCATAACCAGCTCAATATGGATGGCTTAACTCATCCAGGTTACTAGAAGGGAGGTGTCAGGGAGCCCAAAGCAGGAATTATCTTGATTCCATAGCAGTCAAAAGGGTCAGAATCAGGCCCTTCTGGTTTGCCTGGGATTTTGGTTCAGCTGGGCTAAGTGAATGACCACTATGGAGCAGTGGCTGTAGGTTATGGTTCCAGAGCCTTTACATAGCGCTAAAGCAGTGGTTCTCAACTTGTGGGTCGCGACCCACAAGAACTGTGTTAAAGGGCTGCAGCATTAGGAAGGTTGAGAATCACTGCTCTAAAGAAGTTTCCTGGCCTTTTTTGTTTCCTGCATCTCTTCCTAGATGACACCTGGAATACTTAGTTTGAAATATAAAAATTGGTTAAATGTTGCCTAATTTACTTCTCCCATATAGAATGATCTATTTTTCCTCTCAATTCCCATAGCTCCTGATTTATATAATTTTTTGGACATCCAACACCTGGCAAGTGCTTTATAGACACAGCAGGTTCTCATTAAATGATTCTTGAATGAATAACACAAACTGCTTTTACCATTTATCCCTTGTCATGGTAATACATACTGACTTTGTCATTATTT